GTCCATTGTTGGCTGGCTCCAAAGTAGAGTGGCACATAGCAGAGGGGCGCCAGTTCATGGAGGGGGGAGGACAGCAAGGAGAGACAGAGTGAGACACAGAGAAGACAGTCCTTTCTATCCCTTTTATTGTATGCAGGCTACCCACCACGTGGCAGGTATAGCACTCACACCCTTAATTCCAGCATTGAACTACAAATCAGTCACAAACTAGATTCAGCTCCCAGCCTCCATCTAAAAGTCCATGAGGACTTAGGGGGCTATCTAGCCACACAAACCATAACATGTCCCTAGCCTAATTGGTTAGTGTCAAGATGTGGACATCTTTTTTTTTTTTTTTAAAGGGTCCTACAGGGTGTTCAGGGTCTTACTACTAGACAGACTCGCAGTGATTGACCTGTTTACAGCCTCCCAAGAGCTGGGATTACAGGCGGGTACCACCATGCCCAGTCTCAATCCCATCTCAGTGTACTCTTGGGTGGGGCCAGCACTGCAGGCCTAGGGATCAAACCCCTGGCCCCTGTGCCTGCTTACAGGCACTTGAATCCCCTGAGCTATTTGGCCGGCCCAAGATGTGGGCATCTAGAAAAAAAGTTGGAACAGACTCTTAAATTCACTCCTTCTTCCCACTTTGGCAGATGCTGCGGGTTGGGAAAGCAAAAGCAGATGTGTGGGCCAAAACTGCTCCAAAGAAAGGTGAGGAGGGCCTGCTGGTGAAGAGTAAGTTTGGCTTCTTTCATTCAACACTTGTCAGAATTGTTTCTAGAATTACAGTATTGGTTTTTGTTGTTGTTTTAGATGAGAACAACTTAGTTCCTCCTGCCCCTGTGGACAGTGATGGGGAGAGTGATAACTCTGACCGTGTTCCTGTGCCCAGTTTCCAGAATTCCTTCAGCCAAGCCATTGAAGCAGCCTTCATGAAACTGGATGCACCAGCTACTTCAGATCCCCTCTCTGGTAAAGGAACTGGCATGCTCAGCATAGGGCTTTTTTGGTGCAATTGGAGATTGAACTCAGGCCCTTGCGCTTGCCCGGGAAGCGTTTATTCCACTGAGCCATCTCCCCAGACCCAGCATAGGGCTTTTAAACTTATCACATGTGCATTGTCATTGCCACCTGCATCCAGTGGACACCTGGATTAGCCAGGGTTTTTCCCTTCTGAAGCACTTAGGTCTCCATCTCCAATATGCATGAGTGTCAGGTAATGTTCCACTTGGTTAGTCACAAAAGACCTGCACACAGGACCTGCTTACTCTCCCAGATTAATTTTTTTTTTTAATTTGTGTGTGTGTGTGTGTGTGTGTGTGTGTGTGTGTGTGTGTGTGTGGCCAGCTCAGCCTACGAGGGGGCAGGGCTGGCTGGCATGTGGTGGTGGGGGATTGAACCACGGTCCCTGTGCTTTGCTAAGCTTGTTCTAAGTAGGTGCTTTAGACCACTGAGCCATCTCACCAGCCCCTCCCAGATTAATTCTTGAAGCCTGAAAGTAAAATTCCGAGGAACTTCTTTTGATTCCAGGATTGATCCTGTTTAGACATTAGAATCTCAAGTTGTAAAAGGTGGTTTGTGAAAAAGTATACAGACTAGAATGACATGACATTTCTGGTATGCTTTATATGCCTTGCATTATGCTAATTTCATTTTCTCAGAACCATATAAAATGGATATAAATCTGAAGTTACAGAAAGAAAAAGCTGAAGTCCAGGGAGGTAAAGTGACTTGCCCAAAGACAGTAGTGTGTGCTACAACCGGTATTTTAATCCAGGCAGTCTAATTGCGGACCATGCTGATGCTCTTAGGAATGAAGAGGTCGGGCTAAGGGGAGACGCCGGGGTCTCAGGGAGCCTCTTTCTGTTTCCTTTTAGAAGAGAAAGGCGGGAAGAAAAGGAAAAAGCAGAGACAGAAGCTCCTGTTCAGCACGTCAGTCGTCCACACCAAGTGACACTGCTGGCCCGGGCTGCCTTCTCATTTGGCTTTCTTTTTTCATGCTTTTGTTTTGCTGCTGTAATTTTTAAGTATTTGAGTTTGAACAGATTAACTTGGGCAGGGGGAGGGAGTTTCTACAATGTGAGAGGGAACCAAACATTTTAAATACAGTGTATTTTCCAGCTTCCCGTCTTTACACCAAAATAAAGTATTGACAGTCAGATCTCTTTCTACCAAGATTTTTAGTTTGTGGCCAGTTTAGTCCTTTTGACCCACGTATAAGCTCCTTAGCATCCATTGGAGCAGCCCAAATTAGTAGTGTCACACTACTCTGCTCTTGCAGTACGTGCCAGACCCTCCTGGTGTCTCAGTGCACCCGTCAGTTTCTTTTAAAAAGCCAGATCTTGGGGTCCGGGGAGATAGTTCAGTGGAGTAAGTGCTTCCCTGCCAAGCTCAAGGGCCTGAGTTCAATCCCCGTTTCTGCAAAAAAAAAAAGCCAGATCTTGGCCAGGTGTGATAGTGCATGCCTGTAATCCCATCACTTGGGAGGCTGAGGCAGGCACATCACTGCAAGTTGAGGCCAGCCCAGGTTACAAAGTGAGTTCAAGGCCAGCCTGAACTACATAATGAGACCCTGTCTCTAAAAGACAAAAAAAAAAGTTTTTTTTTGTTTTTAATCTTTCCTGACTGTCCAGCTCTTATTAAAGAAACAGGAATGAGATCTGGGTGTGACAGTATACCTATAATCCCAGCACTCTGGGAGGCTAAGGCAGGAGGATTGCAAGTTTGAGCCCAGCCTGGGCATTTCAGTGATTTAGTGAAGCTTCATCTCAAAAACTGGGGATGTAGCTCATCGTGAAGGCCCTGGATTCAATCCTGGGCACATGTGTGAACAGTTCTCTCTCTTGAACTTGGCAAGGTAAAGCTATAACCATCACTAAAACCTCCCACTCCTCACTCAGATCAGGCTTAAGTGACAGTGGCCTGAGTTGTATAAACAGGATTCTAGCACACCTGGAGGTGTGCTGACTCCTTTTTGTCTGCAGCAGCTTTCTTATGCCTTGGTTTCAGCAGAATTTGAGTGATGTGAATTCTTTTGCTGCTTAATAAAGTGACCTCTAGGTGTAATAGAATGTAAAAGCACAGTTGCAATAAATCACATGCAAAGGTAATGTGAACTTCTTGTTTTTTTTTTTTAAGTTCATTACAGGTCAGCTAGCTGTGTCAGTTCTTAAAACTAGGTCAAAAAACAGCTACTATGAGTTTGAGCAATTCTGCTATTACAGACTGTGTTCTCTGGTGTCAGGCCTACAGCACAGCAGAGCTTTACATTTTTGAGAAATTCTGGGTCAGAAACTCCAGGATAAATGACGGTGGTCCAGTCCTGAGATAAAGGACATAGTGATTTTGAAGCCAAAATCAGATCTTTATAGACTAAAATATTTTGAGTGACATCTTTTCATTACAGGAGAAACATGCTAGAGATATCATACCCACTCCCCTATGGAATAATTTTTTTGGTGGTACTTGGGCCTCACATTGAGTTACATTCTTAGATTGCTAAATTACCCAGGCTGGCCTCCCAAACTGAATTTTCCTACCTCAGCTGCTGAGGTTACAGAGGCACACCCCACTCCTGGCCAAAATCAGTATTTCTTACCAAGTTATCCCGGTAAAGGACTGGTTAAGAACCTAGTACTGGGCATGGTGGTGCATACTTGTGATTCTAAGCACTTAGAAGGCTGAGGCAGGGGGATCACTGCAAGTTTGAGGCCAGCCTGAACTTTGCAGTGAGACTGTCCCCTCCAAAAACCCATCTAGTATATGTGTAAAAAGTTTTCTGTTCTGGGTGGGAGAACTGTTCAGAAGTCAGATTCATTCATAAGCCAACAAAGTGTGTCCTGTACAGTACACCTGTGAAAGTTTACAACTCAAGTGTTTGTAAATTGGGGACTTGATATGGTCCAGGCATGGTGGTACACACCTGCAATCCCACACTCTAGAAGCAGGAGGATCACAAGTTTGAGCCCAGCTTAGGCAGTTGAACAAGACCCTATTTCAAAATAAAGCAAAAGCCTGAGGCAGCAAATAAATAATGTAACATTTTATCGGTATTTCTTTTTTTTTTTCTTTTTTTTTTGGTGGAACCGGGGATTGAACTCGGGCTCTTGCGCTTGCCAGGCAAGCGCTTATTCTACTGAGCCATCTTCCCAGTCCCGTTAACAGTATTTCTTACTAATATCTCTTATTACAAATGTCGTGGGGCTGGTGAGATGGCTCAGTGGTCTAAAGCACCTACTTAGAACAAGCTTGGCAAAGCACAGGGACCGCGGTTCAATCCCCCAGCACCACATGCCAGCCAGCCCCGCCCCCTGGTGGGCTGAGCTGGACACACACACACACACACACACACACACACACACACACACACAAATAAATAAAAATTGAAAAAAAAAAATGTCTTGAATTGAGGGTTGGAAGGACAAAGCCTCAAGTGGACTACTGAATATTTAAAACTCATCATACAAATAGCCAATCTTCTCTCCAAGGCTAGGGCTGTAGACAGGGAAAGAGACTTACTTGGTCAAACAAATTCTGTAAGCTTTGTTGCTGAGCTACAACTGAGGAAAGGTTTATTTTGGCTCAGTTTATAGAGGTTTCGGTCCATAGGCTTCAAGGCCTAGGGTGGCATGGATGTGAAGTGGAGATCAAGAAAGGTGGATAATTACCCTTTTCACACACCCCAGTGACTTCCCTCTGACCACAATGTCCCACCTAGCTATAAATGCATCAGTGGGCTAACCCACTTACCACCCATAATCACCTCCCAAAAGCAACCCATGAGCACTTGAGGTATGGGGAACATCTGGTTACAAGCCATAATGCCATTCTGTAACATGCTGAAGGTTATAGAAGCTAAGTACATTTATTCAGCCTATGTTTGTCAAAGCATTTACATACAAAAGTGGTCTATAGAGCCTTCACAGTCTATATAACCATTCACCCAGGGAATGCTAAATAAAGCTGGCCATTGGTCCTCTGGTTGGGAGCACTCCAATTTGGAGAACTGCAGTTCTGTAAGTGGGCTTGGGCATAGTGCAGCCTGCTGTATGGCTGTTTCACTCCATTACTTCTGTGGCCTCCTCACCACCACTGTCTGAAAGCTCCTCACCAGACTCTTCCTCTAGTAAACAGCTTCTGGTGACAGATTTCTGTATAGCTTCCCGTTCTTCTGGAGAAAGGCAAAGCAGAAATGAAATTTGGGGAGTGCAGTTGCAAGAGTCTGTCACTGGTGGGCACTGGGCTAATATCACCTACTTTCATCACTGCAGTTCTGCAACAGGATCAACAGCTGTCTCCTGTTGTACTGAATCAGGAACTTCTGACATGTTCTAATTGTACCTGGCATGAGAAAGATTGTGTGGCAGTCAAAGTATCTTGTTCTCAGCGGTCCTGCAGGAAGACCCACCCACCTCTCCACATGCTCTTACCTCCCACGTGTACTGTGTTGAAAAAACAAGGATAGCGGTGTCCTTTGTTCTCCAAGTATGTGATGAAAGGAAGAGCTGACCACACAAGTTGATAGAACTCCTTCCGGCATCGAAGTAGCACTATTCCAGTGTAGACATTGAGGTATCGAACTACAGCAAGACAAAAGAACATTTTGGAAAACTTAAGATTCACAGGAGCAATCTCACTCATATCTCAGGGAAACAGCCTATGTGACAGACTGCTTCAGGCAAGTGGCATTTCAGAGGATACATCAGTAAGAAAAAACATTCTTAAAGAGAGGGAAAAATACAGCACAAGCCATGATTGTGGAGAGGCTGGTGCTTTACACACCGACTCAGGCCTGGAGAATTAATTTAGAATTTAACATACTGTCCTAATTATCACCTGATGTAAAGGAGTTAAGCCTGCTTCATGTAATTCAGGATTCAGGTTTGAGCTTATGGTGTTTACATATACACAACCGTGCATTCAGTACTTTACAACTCTCAAAGTTTTAAAAGACAAAACAAAACCCCACAGGGTCTCACCATGTAGTTTAGGCTGACCTCCTAGTTTACATGGATCCCCATGTCTCAGCCTCCTGGGTACTGGGATTACAGACTTGCACCCTGCTCAATGGCATGTTAGGGGGTAATTCTGGCAACATGTGTTTTAAGAGATGTCAGTGCAACTTGTCAAAAACAACCTTATTAGGAAGTATACACGAATTCTTTAAATTATCCCATTAAATTCAAAAGCAATTCCCACGATACAGATGTCAAACAGATCTAGTGAAGATCCTTGTCCGAAGTCCCACGACCGGGTCGACGATACAGCTCAGCGGCACAAGCGCCTGCCTGGCAGTGTAAGGTCCTTAATTCAATTTCCGGTAACAAAAACAAAAGCACTTCCCACTGTCTTCAGACCCCTGCCTTTAACTCTGCCCAAATTTAGACCTTCACTCCAGTCTAGGGGACCTAAAAGCGTTTTACAAAAATGGTTCAAAGGTTTGGCCGCGCTGGAGTCTCCCAGGCCCCTCCTGTGCCTGCCCTTCCAAACCCAGCCATCCGCACCCGCGAAGCCAATGGAGCAGGCGGCGGCGCCGAAAGTCCCGTGCACTCGGGCGATTGTGTCCCGTACGAGGTTGCCCAGCACTCGGTCATCCAGAGTTAGGCGGGAGCGGGGGTCGTCCGACACCAATTCACACAGAAGGTACCTAAGGAGGTGAGAGGAAGGTGAGTACGAGTGGGGGGCCTGGACGGAAACCCGCTGGAGTGGAGGTGCAAGAAAACAACTTACCTGTGCTTGAACCGCACCATGGCTTCCGCTATGCCAGCCGGCCGGACGTGCACACCGGATGTCTGTGCTGCTCCCGGCCAATGGGGAGATCGCTTTCACACCCCTGTAGCCACTCACAGAGGAAGGCAGAATATGGGGGCGGAGCTATAAAGTTGAAAGGCCGAGCCCTGCGTCAGTTTCCTCCAAGCCCCGCCTCTCTCCGCTGCAACGGCGCATGCGTTCTTCTAAGAGTTACTTTTAGCGTGGGGGCTGGAGTCCGCGATTGAGTGGCTTGCGGTGGTGGTGGGTGTTTCTACTCCGCGCGGGAGTTTTCCAATACCTGCGAGCCGTTGCTGCGTTTAGGTTATGTATGTACGTACTTGTGTTCTCTCCCCAAGCTAGATAGCGGAACTTTTGAGGCCAAGACCCCTTGAAGCGCAAGGATTGGCACAAGAGAAATCGCACCCTTTTCCTCAGGTCAGAGCTCGGTTTTTCTTCCTTAGAGCCAGATATGCTGTTACTGTTTGGGCCTTTCAGTAGTTTTGTGAAGCTGGGTGATTGGCACGTTGTTACTGTATGCACAAACAGTGTGTGGTCGTTGTGTTTGCCACTCGTTTTTTAAACAGAAAACAAAAGAGCAAATAAAAATAAATTATAATTCCAACATCCAGAGACAATACCTGTTCTATAGTATCTTTTCTCCCAAGTCAGCGGTTCTCAAAGTGTGGCCCAGTATCACTGAGATTTCCAAGACTCCTTAGGGAGTTTCCACCTCAAAATTGCTTTTCTAATATTATTTGCAATTTTAATTCTCTAAAAATGAACAGTGAAGTTTTCCAGAGACTATGATATATGACCACACTGCTGTGACTCCAGTGGAACTGCGGGGCTTGTTTTTATTTTGGGGTAGATACTGCAGACTGAGCCCAGAAGCATTCTACCATTGAGCTACATACAATGCCAGCCCTTCTGAATTTTTATTTTTATTTTTTTCCTTTTGAATTTTTAGTTTGAGACAGGATCTCACTTACACTAAGTTGCCAGGCTGGGCTTGCGTTTGCCATTCTTCTCCTTCAGGGTTCTGCATAGCAGATGCGTGCTGCTTTGCCTGCTTCTAGTCGTATATTGTGTGGTGTTCCTTTGTTTTTGCGGTGCTGGGGTTTGAACCTAGGTCCTTGCACATATTAGGCAAGTGCTCTACCACTAAGCTACATCACTAGCCCAATATGTTGGTCTTAAACATTTGTTCTTTTTAACTTAAAACATTTGTATTGGTACATATTTGAACAAGTACATAGTGCTCACATTCATCGTGGCGAGTTGGTACATATGCCTAGTGCATCTTAATTCTTTTTACTTCTCCTTTCTTCCTACCCCCCCACATTCCTCCATCTCTTGGTCCCTTTATTTCTGTTCTAAGTCCATGGTAAATACTGATGAGTATAACCCACAAAAACAAAAGTGGTTTTGGAATCTTCAGTTGCAGAGTCTAAATGGGTTGTCAGACAAAACAGTTGGAGAACTGTGCCATGTGTTAAATTATGGTTTTCCTTTTCACGAAAGAGGATCAAGGGGGTGGGAAGAGAGGGCAAAGAGATATGAGTAAAGATGCGTTGCACACATGTACCAATTTCCCACGATGTGTAATCACTGTGTCCTGCAAACGTTCTAATTTTTATAAAAGGAAAGGAATAAAGGATCAAGCCAGACTTGGTAATCCACAGGCTGCAGCAGGAGGACTGCAAATTCAAGCCCAGCTTCGATGATTTAGTGGCTTAGCAAGATTTGATCTCAATTTTTTTTTTTTTTTTTTTTGTATTTTAGGGAAGGGTCTCACTACTAGATTGTACTCGTAGTGATCCGCCAGTTTACAGCCTCCCAGGAGCTCAGATTACAGGCACATGCCACCATGCCCAGTCTCAGTGTGCCTGGGGGCGGGGGTGGCACAGCATGCCCGGTGATCAAATCCCAGGCCCTTGTGCCTGCTTGCAGGTGCTTTAATCTACTGAGCTATTTGGCCGGCCCTGATCTCAGATTTTTTTTAAATTTCAAAGGCTTGGGTATAGTTCAGTGTGAAGGCCCTGGGTCCAATCCCCAGAACCACACTCACACACACGAAAAGTACTATTGAGTAATCTGTTTTTCTTCCTTTTTTTTTTTTAAGTATTTGGTTGTTACAGGATCTCACTGTGCAGCTCAGACTCGTGGTGATCCTCCTGCTTTCAGCCTCCCCAGTGCTGGGATTACAGGAGTATGTCACTATGCCAGGACTCTGGCCTGCTCAGCCCACCCTGGGGGTGGGGCTGGCATGGTGCCGGGGATTGAACCATGGTTCAAGGCAGGGAGGAAGGGAGGCAAAAAGAAGTATCCTTTATTTTTTGGGGAGGGGAGTACTGGAAATTGAACTCAGGACCTTGTGCTTGCCAGGCAGGTGTTTGTGCCACTGAGCTATATCCCCAGCCTTCAGATCTTAATGCTGAGTTTGCATTAAAGGGCCTTGCCTAAGCAGGCCCTTTAAAATCTTTCTGAGACAGGGTCTTGCTATGCAGTTCAGGCTGGCCTTGAGCTTACTTAGTAACCCAGGCTTAACTTTCAATGATGCTGCTGCCTCAGCCTCCCTAGTGCTGATTACAGGGGTGCACCACCACGCCCAGCTTCTTCCATTTTCCTTTTTCTTTTTTTTGGTGGAACCAGGGATTGAACTCAGGCCCTTGCACTTGCCAGGCAAGTGCTTATTCTACTGAGCCATCTCCCTGGCCCTTCCATTTTCAGTTAAGTATTTTTCTAAAAAAATTTTATTGGGATATAACATATAAATAGTGCATAATCTTAAACTCAAGAGAATTTTTACCTATGTGTAGATTTGTATAACCACCACCCAGATTAAGATACATAAAGCATTTTAGAACTGCAGGTCAAAACCCTTGTTAGAAGTAGACACTATTTTGACTTCTGTCACAGTAGACTAGTTTTGCTTTTTCTTGAACTTTATATCAGCATGGTTTTTTTAGTGTCTGGCTTATTTTACACAACATAAATCTTGTTCGTATTTTTACATTAATTGTCCTGCTAGGACATCATCACCTGTACAGTGTTATATTGTTTGCATGTGCCACTGTTAAGTTAGTATCTCCTTGATACAAACCATCTTTTTGTGTGTGTGTG